ATTATTAAACAATATTTTCTTGGCAAATACAAATAACAAATAATTAATGATTTAAGATAAACAAATTTTAGAATAATTTAATAAAACAAGTTGAGAATTTTAATTAAATCATAATATTGTTTATATAATTGATAATATTATTATTATTTTTTTCAAATATGATTGATAAATAATTAGCAAATTACCATATATAAATATTTTAGAATAGTTTAATAAAGCTAGTTGAAAGTTTTAATGAATTTTAATACCATTATAAATATAATTCTAAAGTTATTAAATATGATTTAGCCCCAATTTGGCTGAAATTTTAATTTTGAGTCAAAGTCAAAAAATCAATTCTAATAATATCTTTCATGTATCACATAACTTTTCAGTCACACATTTTAAAAATTTCTAACAAAATCTACTTTTAATCCTCACTAAACACCCTCTTAGTTTTCAAATGCGATTGACAAATAAATATTTAAAAATATTCACTATTAAAAAACATTTTTTCACCTAAGTAAAATTACCAACGGATTGCAATTAGAAACAGATTATTCGTTGGTAAAAGTTATTCACTTTCAGTTACGATAATCAGCAACAGATTTTTCGTTGGTAATGATGATATTTCTTTACCAACGGATATTCTGTGCCTCATATGACCGTTTAACATTTGAATCTTTCACCTACAGAATATCCGAAGGTGACGTACCGAATATTATCAACGGATGCAATCCATTGGTAATTAAAAATGGATTATCCGTTGGTAATGATAATTCACTTTCAACTATGATAATCAGCTACGGATTTTCCAATGATAACGATGGTATGTTTTTACCAATGGATATTCCGAGCCTCATGTAATCGTTTAACATTTGGATCTTTCACCTACGAATATTCTGTTGGTAATTAGAAACGGATTATCCGTTGGTAAAAGTAATTCAGTTATCCCACATCGAAAGTTCACAACAAAGTTTTCGTAGTTGCCCTCTATAAAATAATTTGTAGTCCAATGAATTGTTAAATAATATTTTGGCCTTTCAATCCGGTTGGCTAAAAGTTTAAAAAAAAAATTAGAATTATTAAATAAATAATAATAACAATTAAAATATATATATTATGATTATTATTTTTACTATGCCTCACACCTATACGGCTATTTACAACATTAATTTTTACTAATTGTAATGGTAGACATTTACCAACGGAAAGTCAGTTGGTATTGGTTAAGATTTTTACCAATGAAAATTTCGTAGGTAAAAGATTCACACTTTATCAACGAAAAATTCGTTGGTAAAATGTTTACTCATTCCCTACAGCAAGATCCGATGGTAACTATCAGCGACCCTCAAATTGGCAACAGATTTGTGGTTGCAAATATTCCGATAGTAAAGAGTACTAGCAATGGATGTCGATGTTTCAAAAACGGAAAATCCGTGCCTGAAGCCATGATTTTTAGTAGTGATTTTAATAAGCTAGTGGAAAATTCATCAAATTTTTTATATTGCTTGATTTAGTAGCATTTTCTCAAATTTTTGTATGTTTTGAAAATGCAAAAAAAGTTGACATCAAAGTACATTATGCTCTTGTTCGATCCCTATTCTTTTGCTAAAAATGAAGTTTTAAATAATATATTGATGGGAAATGTGTGGTTGAAAAATAATGAAAAATTTTGAATTTACGTGTAATATTATTTTATTGAAAAATATGTAATTGAAATGATGTCAAAATTGTTTAAGAATGAATTTTTTTTTTTCAAAAAATGGCAATCAAACAAGGGCTATATCAATTTTAGTTTTAGCATTTTTTAAAAAATGAGAAATCAATGTTCAAAAAATACGATGAAGAATAAATAACTTTATACAGAAAAAAACTTTCAAAATAAAAAAAAATAAAAAAAATTGTCCGAATTAAAATTATAAAAAATATTAAGAAAGCAAATTTTGCTACTTTGCAAATCCACGTGACATGAAATAAATTTCACGAGGATGTCAGAATGAATTTATGTGTAAAAACAAGCCACGTAACCAATTAGAACGATGTTACTACATAACAAGGCTTCGATTGTCTTTGCCACACCACATTGACCTGGCTAAAGCAGATCTATTTGACAATTTCTCCCTAATTTTCGAACTTCTAGTGGCCGAGATCAACCCATACGCATACGAGGAAAGCAAGTTTAGTGAAGCTTACAAAGAGCAACTTCCTCAGTGAATCCACCAGCAAATGTAATGTTCAAAACATGGAGAATATATAAATTCTTGTAAACAAACAAGTTTCTTAGCCACGGGTCAAGGCAAGGAAAGCTCCATATGGCAAAAACATTTAGAATAGTGTGTGAAATGTGATCTAGAGAATCTTGTGAAGTAAAAAAGTAAAAAAGACCCAAAAATCCCTTTACCTTGAGAAATCCACAAATACCTCCACCCCCACCAGAAAATCATAAGGAAATTAAGTATTATTAGAAACTCTAGTCAAATTCTTGTTCCTCATCTTTTAAGTCCCTAGTGGTAGCAACTTAATTTCACCATGAAGTTGCTTCTCTAGAGCTCCGATAACAAGACAAGGGCTTAGAAAGATGATCAATCAGTTAGGCGACCCATGGATTTGTTGGCTTTCATTTTCCGAGGTCAACAAATATAGCTCATATTTGGTAGTGATTTCAATTTAAATCAAACTCAACAATTAATTTTAATCATAAATTTTATGGATTCACAGCTTTTCAACCATACATTTCTTCAATTTTTATCAAATTCTACTAAAAATCTGATTTTAATCCCCATTAAATATAGGCATAGTATGCATAAATATAACATAAGCGAGAATGATGAAAAAAAGAAAAAGAAAAAAAAAAGAAATTTTTGATAAAAGAGAGGGACAATGTAACGAGAAAACTACGAACAACAACAACAATAATAATAATAATAACAACAAATTTTTTTGTCCCTCATGAGGTGGTCGAGTTGGTGGAATAGATGAGTGCGGAGAGACCTTTGATTACGAGTTCAATTCCCCATATCAACACTTTCTTAGTCAAGTCTGTCGTATCGGGTTTGTCTAGTGCGATTTACCTGACTAGCGTGGTTTACAAGCTATTGCGTTAGCCCGAGAGTTTACCCAGTACATACCCAAAAAATAGCGACTGCGATTTCGCCCGTCATAATAATAATAATAATAATAATAATAATAATAATAATAATAATAATAATAATAACATGTACTCTCTAACCAAAGAGCAAAGTAATAACAAGAACCTTATAACCTTGATGATATCATTATATGAATACTCTTTACTATGAATTCGAAGATAAATTTGATTTCAACACTATTCAAAAAATTTATTCAGTTCAATTTCATGTAATTCAATTTTGTTTCAGAGAGAACCTATCATAAATTGAAGAAAAAGTTCAATGTAAAACTTGGCATATAGGGAAACTAGGATGAGCTTATGTGGTTCAGACTTATGCCTACTAAAACTGGATTCAATATGGCCGAGGATCATCTGTTTTCCAGGTAATTATCGTTAAACCACTATTTTTTAGGATCCAACTTCATATCTGTTTATTTTGATAACCTAAAATTATCTACTACCTGTTCGATGTTTTGCCACAGTTATGCTTTCTAATTTCATAATCAACATTTCACACTTTGAAACTGATTCTAGAATAGCAAATTTAGTTGCGCATTTTTGTTGTGCAAAAGTGCTAATACAGAGTTCAAAAGAGATAAGTGAACTAGTAATCAATGGGCCAAGAAAATATTCTTTCCTTTCATCTTGGTTCCAGCTGGGTAATGGTGGTCCCACATAATGAATTGCTAGCTATACTTTCAGTTAAAAATGCATCTCTTTCTGTGAAAAAACCGGGCTGATTTGCCGGAGGTAATGCAATTTCATTGTCCAACATTGCAACCACAGTAGTCATGCTTGGTCTATCATCTGGACACTGTTGAACGCATAAAAGACCCATGTGGATTAATCGTAGAACTTCAGATGGATTAGCCGAGTCACGTAGATAAGGGTCAACTAGTTCAAATGACCTTCCATCCTTATAAAGTGTCCATGCCTGTAGAAGTTTGACCACAGTAACAGGCCTTGTCATCAGGTTTAGTAGAATGTAAATAAACATGTATGTTAACATATCTAAGATAATAATTACATGTCCAAGAAGGTTGAGGTGTTGATCTTCAGCAGAAAATCCACTATTTCTCTTGCCACTCACAATTTCTAGCACCGAAACACCAAAGCTAAATACATCTGATTTTACTGAGAACCGACCATGCACTGCATATTCAGGTGACATGTAGCCGCTGCATGAGAATTTTAGTCAGAAAATATTGTTACAAGCAATAAAAATGCATGCCTTGTGTTTATGTTGTTGAGAATCTTACTATGTTCCAACCACTTTGCTTGTTAAAACTTCGTTCTCATTCTCTCGAAAAGTTCTAGCAATTCCGAAATCTGATATCTTTGGATCCATGTCAATATCTAGTAATATGTTGCTTGCTTTGAGGTCTCTATGAATAATTCTCAACCGGGAATCTTGATGAATATACATAAGTCCTCGAGCAACTCCATTAACAACTTGGAGGCGCTTAGGCCAATTAAGTAATGTACATCTTGTTTGATCTGCCAAAATATTATGGGAGTCATTATATACCTCATCCAGTTGTCTTATGCTTGGAGAATAGATATTAATTCCAAAATCTTAAGTTTATTCTGGGAAGCCATAATGCAGAAGGGTACATGTATCAAAAGAGCAATGCTTTCCTATAATTATGCAATCACCTAGGTTTCAGTTCTGTACTAGCATTAATCTTCAATTACTAGCATGTTTATGAAGATGCCACTGACCATATTGTTCAAACAATGAGTTAAAAGTGGTAGATATTCATTTTGTCTCTATATTAAATTAATACTCCAAATTTAAGGTAATTTTGAACTGATTGTACTAGAGTTAAGAATCCTCACCAAATAAAATCAAGTCCAGGCTTTTGTTGGGCATGTATTCATAGATCAACATCTTCTCCTGTCCCTGAATGCAGCATCCTAGAAGCTTCACAAGATTTCGATGCTGAAGTTTGGCAATACAAATAACTTCATTCATGAATTCATCAAGTCCTTGCATGGATGTTTTTGACAACCTTTTCACAGCAATATCTTGACCGTCTTCCAGCATCCCCTGAGATCATAACTTGTGCAATTGAAAACGTATTCACTAAATGAACTTTTTACTCTTTCTCAACTTATATTCGTGCTTCATGTATGAAGCTCAACTACATTTATTCATTTTCTACAAGAGTTAACTCAAGGCATCTCATCTCAAATGATGTTTACTAGTCTTGTCATTCTTCTGTGGTGTTCCACTAACTTGCTCAAAGTACTCTCAGAAAACTACTTGCAGATTGTGCACATTTTTACCTTATAAACAGGCCCATATCCACCTTGTCCAAGCTTGTTGTTGATTGAAAAGTTATTGGTGGCCTTTGAAATTGTAGATAAGTCGAACAATGGCAGCTCATGGTCTTCGTTATGGCTTGCTGAAACATGAAACATGAGTAATAGGAGGATATAGTTTATCAAAGAGAACTTGGAAAGAGGAAATACTGCTCTGTCAGATGTGCTTGCAGTTTTCATGCTTATTTATAGGTTTATTTGCATGTATATGTTGTTCTCCATGCTCTTGGACTAGTTTTTTCATTATATTTTTTCAGAGTAAAATGGCTCAGGTTGCTTACCTCTTGCTGTCTTTTTGTAACTTTTTTTCTTTTTCCAGTAATACAGCATCGAGCTCAGGCCCAGCAGAATCATTCCCATCAATGATGTCAAACTCAATATCAATAGTTTTCTTCTTTTTCCTTTCGTATCTGCAACAAGTTTAATCCAGAAAAAACAAAAAATTGATTAGTCGTTCATGATAAGGCCTTCAAATTGTGTTAGACTAAATGTAAACGTAACATTTACATTGTTAGAAGTTTGCCAGCTTGTGGGATAATAAGAAATACAATCTTTGTTTAGTGTAGGATATTGACTTTTTGATTGATTATTTTTTCATATTCTTACCAAACTCGGAAGAAGCCATTCTAATGTAAATATCTTGTCCGTTGACAGATAGATCTCTGATGTCAACTAGGTCTCCAAACCAAAATAAGCATCCGCTTCCCTCTTTGCTAATATCTAATTGTGTGTATGCCATGCAAGAGCAATTCTTTAAACACTCCACTTTGCATTCTTCAATTGTCATGTTCTTGTTAAACCTAGAATATCGCGAGTCAGGTAATTTAATTCCAAAATACTTCAAAAATACATCACCCTTTGAACAATTCAAGGGTTTCCTTCGGATGCACCCATTTGACCAATCTGACCTAATCCAATCTTGTGCATCTTTTGGCACAAATTTATCAAGACATCCACATGAAGGAGAATTTCCAATATTGCATCTGCCATAAGCACCACATAATTTGTAAGTATCACAAATATCTGCTGGTATATTCAGGTACACAACCCAGTCCTGGATTCGATCTACCCATGTCATGCGCTGTACAACTCCACTCTGACTCAGAGTATTCCTTCGGATGCACCCATTTGACCAATCTGACCTAATCCAATCTTGTGCATCTTTTGGCACAAATTTATCAAGACATCCACATGAAGGAGAATTTCCAATATTGCATCTGCCATAAGCACCACATAATTTGTAAGTATCACAAATATCTGCTGGTATATTCAGGTACACAACCCAGTCCTGGATTCGATCTACCCATGTCATGCGCTGTACAACTCCACTCTGACTCAGAGTAACCCTTGAAATAACCGACTTGTCAATGGCTTCTTCCCAATAGTATGTCCTGTTCTTGCTCATGAATAATCCATATGCGTATGTTGGATCCTGCCTTGCATTTGGTATCCCACTAAGACGAATGCCATTCCAGGGCCCAATTCTACACACGATTAGATTACCTCTTTTTATGATGCCCTGAGGATATCCAGTTGTATCCAAGTGAAATGTAAAATTTCCTGGAGATGGATCTTCATTGGTCTTCCATGATGTCAGAAAGCTCTCTCTACCTGTTACATAATTCAAACCAAATTTTGTGCTTGGTAGAGTTGTATCACTTAAATATTCAAAACTCTGCCAAAGAAAATTCTCTGGATTATCATCCCTTGCTTCTCTAAGGACCAGGTTTCCTGAGTCCAACAATTGCAAAATTGGATTTTGAGCAACTGTTGAAGTATTCAAAAACCATACTATGTTATTAGTGTTGTTCAGAATAGCTAACAAACCTGGCTCAATGACCTTCAAGATGCCTGATACACTTGTTAGCGGAGTTTCCTTGTTGGCAACCCAAACCACAGTGTTACCAGGTATCTTCTTGTACCAAATTCCCACGTACCGATTCCTGGAGTTACCTGGGCTAAAAAATCCCAGTTCAAAGACTCCCCCATATGAAACTAGGGTGTCACCATCTCTGAGGATCTGAGTTGTATTGATGGTATCAATTGCAGTGGAAATCTTCGAGATGGACAGTAAAAATAGTAAGACAATAATAAATGACATATCTTTGGTAGATTTCTTCATGGCTAATTGTTTCTATGTTTTGCTTTGTGTTTTTGTCTTCAACTTTCAATATACGGTATTTGAATCTGAAGAAACAGCAATTGCTAGGCCACAGTAATCATTCTAATATATTCCTTGCAATTTCTCCATTGTTGGTCCACCATTTGTAATATTCTCAATTGACCTCAATTGGGCTGTCTTATGTATGACTTGACTTGATTGGATTCTAGATTACCATAGACTTGTTCAGTTAACAGGATATTTGTTTGAAAATTGACAAACTGGCAGTATGTAGACTTTGAATGCTGAGCGGATATCAATAATTTGCCGGCAATGGAAAACTTAAAACAATATAAAATTAATTTTCTTAATTTCTTATTGTGGTTCATTGATTATTCGAAGAATTTATATACTACTTCACTTGCTGTTCTTACTGTATGCAGATCAGGAGCTATTGGGTAGTTGACATTTGGAAGTCCTGGTAAATGGCAATACGAAAACAGGTTTGTTTTTATAAAAAAAGGTTGAACTCCAATATTGAGAGTCCCCACCACCCCGTCCCTAAAGTTTTGTGAGGGAGGTAAATCATGGGATGTATCCCATCAGGCCAAGGAACAAGAGCTGTCTGTACACTGTGCTTATAAGGAGTCCAATTCCATATCTATGGAATCGAACCCCCACACTGTGACTGCCAGCAAATAAGATAATTGGTGCAATACCTTCTAACGTTTACCTATTTTGCATAATACTCCCTTACTTTTTCATTTTGACGCAAAATCCCCCTAAATCAGCCAAACTTTGCGGAATATCTCCTATTGTTCATATATGTTAGTTTCTCCGTTAAAGTTAATTGTGAGGACCAAAATAAATAAAATCACAAAGGGCATTTTCGTCTCTTCAACTCCATATTTTCACTTAAGAGCATCCAAGACCAATTCATGGAGGAGGAACCCACTTGTGCTCTTCACCAGTAAATGAGAATGAATGTTCTTCACAATACATAAATCTGCGATTTACTGGGCATATGTTAGGAGTCACACGATTCAAATTTTGAGAACTCTTCCTCCATTTTCTTAATATATTATAAAAATCAAGCACGAATTAATGTTAATCTTTTATGTCCTCAGAATAATCAAAGCCCTCTTAGTCAAATCCACCTCCCAACCTCCAAGTATTATTATTTTTTATTTTATTTTATTTTATTTATTTATTTATTTTTTGTGGTATTTGTCTCATGAAGTTTTCTAATGGCATAAAAGTCAAAGTTTTCTGGTTCTTCTGAGTTGGTTTGAAATTGGGATGTAGACCTTATTGAAGAGGAAGAAGATTATGACAGTTGTTCAAACATTTGTGTGCAAATCAACCCTCAATTTGAAACATTTTGCAGAATACGATCCCATCTTCTATATACTTTGCAGAATATAACCCTAGCATTTGTAAACACTGCACAAATCAACGTAGCAACCCAAACCCTCAGAAGCAATAAGAAAAACCAAATTTAATGTTCATTAAACTGATGATTCTAGATAAATAATATTATTCGGTGCGATTGGATATCTCTACATTTTTTGTTCTCCTGATCTTGGTAAGCAATGATCTTACAGCAATTTAGGACCTTCAAGTGCAGGCTAAATTTTTCATTTAGGACTTCTTTATAAGTTAATCATTTAGTTTGAGCTCGTCGAAATAGAACGTTTCAACTTTAGAGTCGCACGACCAACTCGATTCCATGGTTGAAAATAAGATTTAGGATTAGCCAACACACAAATTTGTTGATAAAATGAGTAATTGGCTAACAAATAGAAATGGCCAAAGAAAATAATAATAATAATAATAAAAATCCAATAAAATGATTGGATGACAGTGTTGACTATTTTTTAAACAGTCCAACGTCGTCCAAGATGTCAAAAAATTCTTGCAGCCAAGCATGACTGTTGCATTTGGTTTCTAATAAAAATCGTGTGGCTCGTCCGTTAATTGTGAATGCGTGTTTTCTACCCTGAAAACAAAGCCAGTGAAATTATGAAGGGATAATTGATTCAACTTTCTTCAATGAAATCAAGGAGCCATTAAACTGATTATATCTTTGTGAAGAGATGAATTTGACAAGAATTTGTCTGCTTTCAAGGTAATGTGACCTTAAATTACCCTATTATTTGTTAAGGATCCGTCTTGAGTTGTCTGTTTCAGTATCCTAAAATGTCTTCTATCTATTCGATGTTTAGCTGCAATGGAGTTTATAAATGTATTGAATGTATATGGCTCCTAGTTTCTTAAATTTAGAGAATCAAATGTGCTACAACGTTGAATCTAGTAGACACTATTGTGGTGCAGAAACCTAACAATTGAAGGGGTCGGTACCGAAATAGTCTAAAACAATATCCTTTCTACCGTGTAATGGTGACTTCATTTGTTGAACAGGCTGCATTACTGCTACTTGTGCCATCATCTATAATTACTTCTCCTTCTGTAATTAAAAAAAAAAAAAAAAGGTTGATTTGTGCGGTAATACATCTTCATTACTCAACATTGCAACAACTGTAATGAGGCTTGGCCTATCATCTAGACGTTGTTGCACGCATAAAAAACCTACATGGATTAATCACTGTCTTTCAGATAGTTTTAGTTGAGTCATATAGATAAGCATCAACTAGTTTCAGAGACCTTCCTGATTTATAAAGTGTCTGTGCCAGCATAAAGCAAATCATATTAATGGACCTTGTCAGCACAATTAGTTTCAGATAAAGCATAGACATATGTGAATGTATCTAAGACACAACAATTACATGTCCAAGAAGGTTGAAGTGTTGATCTCCCCTAGAAAATCCACTATATTTCTAGCACTAGAATGCCAAAACTATATACAACTGATTTCATTGGTAACTAACCATGCACTACATATTTCGGTAACATGCAGCCACTGTGTGAAAGTAATAGCCAGAAAAAAATGTTACAAACAATAAGAATGTATACGCTTTGTTGTGTTGCTAAGAATCTTACCATGTTCCAACCACTCAACTTGTCTTAAGTCTCATTCCCTTATAAACTTCTAGCCATGCCAAAAGTCTAATATATTAAGATTCAAGTTAGTATTGAGCAATATGTTGCTAGCTTTGAGGTCTCTATTAATAATTCTTAATCTGGAATCTTGATAAATATACACAAGTCCCCAAGCCAACTACATTCTGGAAAACAAGTCATATCTTCAAGTGTAAATCATTCGGACAGAAAGTAAGGATTATAAGACAAGAAGAAAGGATATATCTTTGATTGATTTGTTCATGGTTCATCTATATCGTTTGCCTTAACTTCGTGATTTGTATCGTTAGCATTCTATATAGGGGGTTCAAATGTGAAGAAACAGCATTCATAGGCCCCAGCGAACTTCATTTTATCTTATCAATTAAGATCACTGGAAATGCTACGTTATTGGTCTACCATATATAATTCTGTGGAATTGATGAGCTCGTTTGGACTGTCCTAAACAATTACCTGGCTTTTCTATACCTAACTTTATGAACTTCTTCAATAAACTCATGTTCTTTTTTTATTTTTTGAAAATTAACAATAAGTTTGTAGACTTTGAATATGTTTAACTAATTTATAATATTGAGAATATATAATATACCAAAAAACAGAAGAATGAGAACAATATAAAAGTAATATCATATTCCGATTGATAGATGGTTTTATTGAAGTCAAAAATGGAGGATCATTGACTCTACAAGGAAGTGATTTATCATTTATTACAGGTTGACTAGCTGTTTCGGCTGTATGTAGATCAGGAGCCATCAGTGACGTTTGAGCTCTTGAACTTAGTTGGCATTTGCAAGTACTGGGGAATGGCACTTTGAAAATGTTCTGTTCTTAAGAATGAATCTTTTGGACGAGAGCCAGAGAAAGTACGTAAAATGGGGTCTTTTCTTTATTGTTCTCGGAAGAACTGGTGCTCTTGGCAAGGAAAGACTCTCCTGGGATTTTTCGAACCTTCGTATAGGCTAGATTGCAGGTACTTTATTAACCTTTTGCACTTTTTCTCCATGCTCTTTATGCACTTGCTGCCTCCATCTTTGTTTTTTTAGAAGTCTAACCTTGAGCTTCCATTTTTAGCCGAAGTTGTCTCGTTAATGGTTTTTGTCCAAAAATTTGATCAGAAGTTCAATTTACCCTCAAATATAAATAAATAAATAAATATAAATGGAGGAAGAAAAAAATAGTGGAACCCCCTCCCAAATTATAATTGGAGCATGGAAGACAATGTTACTGTAATCGTGTAAAATGACTTGTGTTGACACACTAAAAGTGCAGCCCAAATCGAATAACCCAAGGAATGAAGCTCAATTGGGGAATTCTCAAATCAAATAGCTCAAATAATGAAGCCCAACTGGGCAATTCAGGATAAAGGCCCAGATAAGGTTATTAATGAATGCAGTGGAAACCCACGAACACGGTAACATCATCGCCTAAACTTGCAAGACGCCCAAGATCTAAGCGAATGAAGTGTCTTACAGTCGTCCAGAGATATGACCCTGTTCTTGCCCAAACCTTCGAATCGCCTAGGATTTTAGCAAATATAAGATGTTATGGTTATCCAGAAGTGCAGTTATTGAAGCAGTTATTGAGTAATCTTATCACGTTCCACGATTCAAGAAGTTCAGTTGAAGACGGTTGAACGACAAAGAGTAGTGGCAGCAGTTAGAGACGGTAGTTCCACGACAAGTTAGCCACCATAAAGAAAGTGGGTAGTTATAAAGCAATCAAACAGTTTTTAAGCGGTTGATCACGAAGAAATCATCAAGGGAATATAAAAGGAAGAGAAGACATAGAGCAAAAGACCCCGAATCAAACACTCTCAAACAGAGAATATGTAATTTCAATTTCTTAGTTTAGATTTAAACATTTCTTTTCAGTACTCGTGTGCTGCGCCCCTTAGAGGCATTCTTTTTAGTTCCAATTGTAAAGTCATCGCCAATAAAACACCCATTTTTGGGACTTTGTCTCAAGAGGTTTGTTCCATACACAATCGTCTGATTCCTTTTTAATTATTAGCGACTACCCGAACGAAACAATTTGGCATGCCTGGTGGGACCTTGGTGTTTGGTGTTGAAGATACAAAAGGCGAAACAATATGCCTCAGAAATCTAATAAGGAAGCAAGTCAGGGAGGAGTCCAGTTTGTGATCGAGTGATATGAGGAGCAGCATAGCTCCCCACGAACAGATGGACAGAATCAGAGCAGTCATAGTTCTTACGAACCAATGACAGAGTTGAGTCATCGAACTATGCGTGCATTACTTGAGAGCTCACACAGGATGTCGTTGAACAGGTAAATCTACGAAATATTCATAATATGGAAAGATTTACCCAGAATGGGATGGATATTATGATAACATGGCCAAACAACTGAATACTTTGAATGAA